TCGAACAGTTAAACTATGAATTTAATATTTTCAAAATTTTCTACTAAAAATGTGCTGTGTTATGTACTATACTGTGTTATATACTGTTTCACGCTCCAGCATTTAAGTAAAAATGTATAATTATACTAGTTTTATACTAAGAAAATGTTTAAGAAATAAAAACCTAAAGACTTGATTTTACTCACGATCGACTCAAATATGCTTTATTGGCACAAGCTCAATCAGATAGATGGATAGTGGACATCTGTAGTAATGATAGTGAAGATCGTGTTATTTTTGGGTTTTTGTTTTTTATTTAAACTCGTTTGTAAAATGTTAAAATAAAAATTTTCAAAATCAAATTTTTCTTGGGCTCGCCCGTGGGTAAGCGGTTAAGAGCGACGGGACTTGTTTCAGAGGTCCTGGGTTCGATAGCCACTTCGAGCAGCCTGTTGTCAGGCAGCAGTGACAACGATTTTCACTTGGAAATGTAGATAGCAATATGTTTCCAAGTGAAAATTGCCCTTGCACGGCATTGCTGCACCAATAAAAAGTCAGCCCTATTAGATTAATTCTAATAACAAAAATCATCAAATATGGATGGAATAACTATTGGGTTACCATCTAAAAATACGAAGTAAGGAGAAGTTTCAGCCCAACAGCTTATAGGACGTAAGGTTCTGCTTGCTGTTAAAAATATATTAAAAAAAAATTCTTAAATATATTGCAAAGTTATAGATACTTTTACTGTTTTCATAAATATCACGAGTATGATATGAAATTTGTCAATGTATCAATATTTTGTGGAAGAATACTACAAAAATTTACTCAATCTATTGGAGCTGAAAATGAACTCGAATTTTCAGTAATGTCAGCCCTGTATGGTTAATTCATCAGTTTGTATAGGCGAGAGAATAGAGTCCGTGGTATTGCATGCGGACATCGTCCGGCTAGTCTCGCCGGTACAATGGGCCCATAGAAACGCGACTCAAATTACAGCTTTTATGCGGATCTCTATCATGAGACACGTATGCATTTACCTATAAATACATAATGCAATAGCGGTACTAGAACACGAAAGAAAGTACTATTGTTAGGTATAGTATGCGACGAAAATAATAACATGGATAGATAATCTACGGCATCGTAAAATGCTTCTTCAGACGCATGAATTTTTGCGTTGGCGTTAGATTTTGTTTATTGTTGGTTATTAGCTTGCCACACTTTCATAACAACGTAATTGTTTAACTTCCTGTAGGGTAAGTTATTGTAATCGCAGAAAATCGAAAATAAATTTTTTTCATATCTTCACGTTTTAGAGGTTTCTGAATATTTTGTCATAACTTAGAAAAAATTGATGTATGTGTGTGTGTGTGCGGATACGAACTCCCGTCGACGATTTTGGGAACACGAATCAACCAATTTAAATAATTCAAAAAATGCAATGAAACGTAAATAAAAATCAAACGTATTCAAGATTCGTATTGATAAGAAGACGTGCTGATTAGTTTTTGGCAAAGTCAGGTTTGGTGTTTCTTCTCTAAAACGAGCACGCAGAACGATTACTTTGACAAAAGTTCATAATTTTCAGAAAAGTTCAAAATATAAATAAAAATTTGAAACATAAAATGAAATTCAAATTTTCCAAATAGTCAATTTTCTTTTAATTTCAAAATTCTTTAAAATCTCTTTTTTTTAGTGTTCAAAAAAGTTTTACAGGGTTCTCCATTTCTTCATTTCAAAACATTCTATTCAATTCAAACAGTTTTTGGCATCGGCAGGTCTAGCCGTTTCGAAGACACGGGGCAAAAAGTACCAAAAACGGTAACTAAGTTTTTAAGAGAACGGAGCGTCCGACTACAAGAATTCAAAAAACATTTTACTTGTATTGACTGAAACATTTCAAAAAATATTTTACTTGTATTGAATAAATAAAATTGGTTGAACCGTTATATACTAGTTTGCATAATTTCAAGTCATCAATTAAAGTTTATGGTTTACTTTATAAAGAGATTATAAGTGTTCAAATAACATAAGAATGCCGAATTAAAAATTTGTACATGTAAATAGTCCTTTTACTATAAAGTTTACAGTAGCAACAATTTACATGTCTCTTGATTACTATCTTTGAGCGTATCTTAAAGCTAATTGCTGGAACTTCCCGTAGCGTAACGAAATATTCGAGGAATATTGAATGTTTTCATATAGATTATTATAAATATTATAACATTGTCTAATATTTATAAGAATTATATAAACTGAATTGCAAAGTTGAAATTATTTGTTTAAAGTATATTAGAACTTTAGTCAGAATTAAAAATAAAATCTGATTTATTTTCGATATACAAAAAATTGAAAAAACTATGAAAAAAAAGTTGTAACAAAATTTTTTTTTCTCTAAAATCAATTATGTTGTTAAGACAAGCAGAGAGTTCTTTGAATCATTTAAATCGAACCCTTAGTTCTCTCAAAAACTACCATTTTTTATACATTTAGCTCCGTATCTTCAAAATGGCTGGGCCTGCCTTTGCAAAAAACTAATAACCACTTCTTCCAATCACTACTAATTGAATGTTTTTTAGATCATTCAAATCGGATGCTCCTTTCTCTCAAAAGCTCGATTTCTATTTTCTGCACTCTTTGCTCTTTATCTCCGTAACTGCTGGACCTGCCTTAGATAAAAACTAATCAGCACACCTCCTTATCAATAGGAATCGAACGTTTTTTGAACCATTCAAATCGGTTGATCCGTACGCCCGAAAACGTGGACGAAAATTTGTATCCATACATACATACACACACACACATCCATTTTTTCTGAAGTATGCGAAAATGTTCAGAAACCTTCAAAACGTCGAGAAATGTAAAAATTTTCAATTTCGATTTTTGGCCCATTACAATAACTTACCCTACGGGAAGTAAAATTAATATACTGATTTCGATTTTAGTGGAGTATTTACACATGTCGAGAAGTGAGTATAAAATAAGTGTTTCGCAGCGTTCTACAAAGCAATTGCTTATTGATTCAATAGTAATTTATATTAATAACTAATGACACAAATCATGATTCAAACATAGGTTACTCCTTGACATAATCCACAAGTAATTATTTCAATTACAAACACACATTCCCTTGTTTGGCTCTCCAACATGTTCTCGTCTCATTCGGCTCCACCGTGGGTCGTTAATGAATTCAAACACCAAATCCTACGCCATTCGATATAATCAATTATATACAAACTCGGGCGTAAATCTGCTTTGTCGAAAGTCAACACAAACTGTCTTAAGTACATTAAGTGTAACTCAATCAGTAGACTACAAACGAGATCCCGAAGCCTATTGTTTTATGTTAGACTTTGCTACTTGACGGAACATGCATATTCGACAAATTTATTTTCACTCGAAAGTCAATTCTGGACTTCTAGGAAAGTTTACTTGCCTTCGTTGGGGTATTTCTTATTAGCATATTATCAATAAAATTTTCGATTTGGACTTTGGCAAGTATGAACTGCTATCTTTAATCAAATAGTGATCATACTTGATGAATTAATTAGAATTATTAACTTCCCGAAGAAGATGTTTATATTTTTATCAAAAATCCGTATCGCTAATTTTATGTTTTCTCGACGCTTCAGGCCAATCTGTATCGAATGAGACCATTTGGAAAAAGTATGTGTGTGTGTGAACAGATTTTATGCCGTAAAGCGACGTTTTCTCAAAAAAACGGCTGAAGCCACTCGATGTATCGCGATCAGGTCCAGCGTTTATCAATTGCGCGTCGATCAGCCAAGCCGTTTCTTTGTAAATAACAGAAAAGCAAAAGAATTCGTCCACGTTTTATCCCGCAGTTCTGTATCGATTTTGAAAGTTCAAAAACCGATCGAAAGATATTAGTTGCGAATGGACCTGACCAGTTTTAGTAAAGATTTGCTAGCACAATTTCTTGTAATTAACTGTTGAAAAAAAAACTTCGATGATTTTCATGGTCTTCTAGATCATACTGAAATATTACAATTCTACGACAAACCGTTTCATTTTAAATATTCGTCAAAATTAGTGACGTTTTTTTGGCGTTTGTCAAAATTAGACCTTTCATTGACGTTTGCTGCAAAACGCCTAAATCGATTTCAAAAATTCAAAAGCCATTCGATTATCCCTATAAGGACTATCGTTTGTCAGTTTTGGGCGACGATCTGCCGAGCCGCTTCTTTGTAATTAGAGAAAAAGTGTAAGACCATTTGTCCACATTTTAGCACACAATCATGAATCGACTTCAAAAAATCAAAAGCTGTTCGAAAGATATTGGTAAAGATCGACCGAACCATTTTCTTGTAATTAACTGTTGAAATTTGTTTTGCCGATTTTTGTGAAGCTTTTTTTCACGATAGTTATCATGATTTTATAAAACATATTGAATTTTCACGTACAATTTTGAAAATTCATCAAAGGTTGCTTTTGTGAGGTGATAATTCGAACATTGTCAATTCATTAAAATGTGATAAAATAAAATGTAATAAACAATTAATATAATTACAGATATTTTTTTTAAATGTATTTAAGAAAATTCAATTGAAAATCGTAATTTTAAGATTTAATTGAAAGCGAATAAAACTTTATTTTTGAAATAAATAGTTGAAAATTTTATCTGAATATCTAAGTCAAAATTTCGGTTGATTAAGTTCATGCAACTTGCCCTAGGCAAAATGCTACTTTCAACCAGTTAGTAAAAGATATTAGGTTTTAGTACAATTTGCTAAAAGATAATCACATAATCATAATATAGCGTAAATCACATAATCTAGCATGATTGCAGTAGTGATTACAATATGAAAATATTTCAAAATTATGAAGTTCCGATGAGAGCCATTCACAGCTAATTCCAATATTTGTGCAAACAACAATCCATTATGAAACAAAACAACGAATAATTTTGAGAAGAATTATATTATTTCATATAAATATTAAAACTAAAAACATATAAATAGTATCTTTATAGACTAGTAATAAATTATTCAGTGCATAAATTAACAAAATATTCATAACATCGACGCATCAACAGATCACAGCAGAGTATTTACACGAACAAACATATCTTATTTTAATTTTGGCAAAAACGCAGTTAAATTTCTATGTCGTTCGTATCCAAATCTATGTGATTGAATTCTTGTTTGCGTCTTATGGTTGGACAACAATCTGGGTAAGGTTTGCTGAGGTCAACGGGAACTATTTCAAACTCGTCGGAGGCGCCGATGGACCCGCATCTGTAACAAGCAAAAAGACAAATTATTAAACATGATAGATATTAAGTTTTTTTTTATATACATTTTTAACAGCAATCAGAACCTTACATCCTATGAGCTGTTGGGCTGAAACTTCTCCTTACTTTGTATTTTTAGATGGTAACCCAATGGTTAATCCATCCATATTTGACGATTTTTGTTATTAGAATTAATCTAATAGGGCTGACTTTTTATTGGTGCAGCAATGCCGGGCAAGGGCTATTTTCACTTAGAAACTAATTGCTATCTATATTTCCAAGTAAAAATCGTTGTCACTGCTGCCTGACAACAGGCTGCTCGAAGTGGGTATCGAACTCGAGACCTTACCGAGTGATGAACAAGATATTATTATATCGCTACATATAAAGCTCTATACAAATCAGAGACATTGACTCTACAAAAATAACAAGGGAGTTCGAGTTTTAATGTAAGAGTCTGGAGAAATTCTGAAGAAGATAATGGCAAAGGGTTACAAAGGTGATGTTCTCATACTATGGACCTGCTTCATATGGTAATTGTTATAAATGATTATTTAATTATTTTGGTCTCCTTATAACAAATAACATGTTCGACTAACTGTTTCATGAAGGTAGCTATTATTTCACATGAAAGTGAAGTATTTCAAGGTTTTCAGAGTTCAAATCAATTTGGCTCTCACGATCACTTTTCTTACGATTTTTTGCTTCATTCTGTTAAATAACATGTAATTATTAACTTCACGCAGGGCAGTTATAGCAATCAGCCGAAAATCGAAAATGAAATTTTTTGCATATCTTCACGTGTTGAAGGTTTATGACATTTTGATATACCTCAGAGGAAATGGATGTGTGTTATTGATTAGAGAGATGTGCTGATTATAATCTACTATAGTTTTTGGCAAAGGCGGGTCCGGCTGTTACGGAAATACAGAGCAAAGAGTGTAGAAAATGTAAATCGAGTTTTTGAGAGAACGGAGTATTCGGTTCCTAAAAAGTTCGCGGGTTATATACTAACCTTGGATAAGCTCGATATCAAGCAGCGTGACATAAAATTACAGTACTATTACTGATATTAAATAGTAGTAGAAAAGAAGTGTGGTTAACCACTGAACCTTAGTGTGGTTATCTTCAAAGAACCTTAGTTATTGTCGTTGTTGAAGAAATTGCAATTACTAGTTTTCAATAGTCTAAAGTTATTTTGCAAGAATTAAAGATATCATCATGACTATACAATTATAAAACAAACTTAAAAAAATAATAATTATCATAAACATCATCAGAATTTATGATTTCAAAGACGTCAGAACTAAATCTGAAAGTTTTGTTTACAAAACGAGAATGTGGTTTTATTTTTGTCTGCGTGCCATAAAACTGGTGTATTGGCAAATTTAATGGCTCGCCGGCGCTGATTATGCAAAAATCTAAGTAGATCCGTGAATATTTTTTGACGTGTATATTTAGAAACTATTCGCAGAATTCAGAACAAGTATCTGAAGTGTATGATAAATAAAACGATTATGCAAATTTTTATATTAATGTAAACAATTTTTATGAAAATTTATGTTTGGCGAAGTTATGTGAATTGAATTTCTTACTCAAAAGTTCAAACACGTGACGTTTTGAAACATAATTGAAAGAAGAGCAGATATCCAATTTCCGATTTTGTCTTCAAAATCTAATAGTGTTTGATTAGTTTAGTATCATTTGATATCAAACTTCTTTTGTATGATAAATAAACATTACAAAATATTAGGTTAAAATTAAATATTAGAGTATTTATTAATATTTGTAATTAAGTAATAATGAAGAAATGGATGTCAGAATTTAATAATCAGGTATCAAGTACTATTATGACTACTCTATATGATAAGTAATTATATGTGGTGCATGACTTGTTAAATAATCAATATAGTTAGAATTATAATCAACGAATTAATTAATATAATTAAATCAATTGCATATATAAAATTGCACATATAAACGCTAATATTATCACAAGTCATATTCAATAATTTTCATGTTGTGTTAAATTATCGCATATAAACAATAGTACTAACTTTTATGAATAGTTACGTGTTATAAACGAATTGCTAATCATAATTAAATGCATTGGTCATATAGAATACACCATATAAAATTCAAAAATGATTAAGCATATAATAAATAATCTGCACGATATGTTACATGATCATCTAACTATTATTAATATCATGACACACGTAATCAAAAAAATGATTGTTATGATAAAATGAATTAGATATAGAGCTCAAAAAGGTAGATACTTTGAAAACCATTAAAAAAATAACTGTTTTTATTAGATATAAAAAAATAAATTATATATTTACCCTGATCCGGCAAAACTATAATCCTGTGTGCATGTTAGAAGCACACATTGGTTTGGTGCTCTAAATGATTCTCCTGGACTGTAGAAAGAATTTGTTGGCTTGTAGAAGCACTTTTCAGGATGATCTGTTATTAAAAAATATAATTAAATACCTATATCCAGAAATAGAAGAAGCGAATTCAAATGTTAATTATAAATGTAGAATTCTTACAAAAATACACCATTAGCAGTTGACATTAAATATGGGTTTTAAAGAGTGTGTTTAAAATTCAATGTGTTGCTAAATTCATAAATATATTTTATTTGTTGAAGTATTATAATAAATTTCTGAACTGTATTCAACTATTATAGATTTCCAGTTACTGTAGCTGTGTTTATTTCTGGTGGAGGTAACCACGTGCATAATATAACAAATGGTTGGCTTTAAAAATAACAAATTTATAATACTGTGACAACAGTTATATTAATTAAAATAATTTCACTCTCATAATATAGCATGTAACATTCTAGTAGTATATAGTTGTCTTTAATATTAGTAAAAATGGTTTTTTAATATAATTTTTTATATTACATTTAACAAATGCGATATGTTAATTACACACTATTTTATATTTTCGTGCATCGGTTCAAAGAAATTCAGATTAACATTACAACATATCGAATAATGTTTAATTTGAGTTCATAAATTGAAGTTGAGATACAATATGAAGATTTATAGAGCAACTATGTCTATTATTAAATAGTTTCTTGAATTGTCTAAATAATAATTATATGCAGTTATTTTAGTAAATCTAAATATTAAGTTCATCATTTAAATATTATTACCTTCATGAATTGTTGGTGCTGTTCTGAAGACTGCTCCAAGTGCAACATTGCAAGACACCACAACGATCAACAAGACAATTGTTAATTGCGAAACCATATTGCTATTTTTGTAATAAATAAACTTTTTCATAAACAACTAAAATATTTATATTATAATATTATTTTTTCCTGTGAGCTAATCACTTTGCTTGACGAATCACAAATGTTAATTTGTATCGCTGAACCGAGGGTCTATATAAGATCGAAACGCGTGCCGCGAGGCGTTACGTTGGTTTTTATTGATGATCGTTTTGTCTCAGAATTTTGTATAAAATGAGAGCCGGCAGAAAAAAATAGACATTTGCTTATTTGTATTATATACAGTGTTATATTTCAAAGTGGTGTACACTCAAATCTCAAATATTAGATATTTTTCTTTTTGTTGTTGGACTCGCTTGAGCATTCAGCCACTTGTCATACTATTATTATTTCTATTCTTTTATATGACGCTTGAAGTAACAGACTAGGATATATAGTTTGTTCACATTTTCTTAAATTTTTCTGAAGGATTTTAAAAGTACTGCATTCAACTATCAACTTTTGTCACGTATTCTCTAAGTTTGAGATTTCAGAGGCAAATATGAGATCCATTTACTAAAAATTATCAAGACATTTATTTCATTATTCAATTTTTATCAAAATATATTATAGCTTTTATATATATTAGGAGAGACTAGATACGGCTGTGCTACATTTTTGATTAGCAATAATTTAGTTAATTCACCAGTTAACTGCGAGTAGTTAAAATGGTAGTTAGAACATTCGTCTACGGTTAAATACTGAAACCCTATTCCTAAATAGGATGGATATGAGAAACGGGCTTATGCCACACCTCCAGATGGGTTGAAATTTTTATTTCACTTTTTCTTTTGCATTTCGGTTTAGTTAGGATAAATGTTCTTTATCTGTTTATGGAATACCTCACAACCGTACCCAACGCACAATTTACAATAACAACCACTTATGTTCAAATAACAAACTATATGATCTACCTGTATATAAGCTAAACTTCTTATTAAAATTAATCGCACAAAAAACTTACTTTTGACTCTTTAAAAACAATGCAGTTTACGAATCGTGTTAATGTAGGATGCTGACTCAACGCAATAATGGAAACTTATTCGAACAAATATACTACATCGTTTTCTTTTTGGACCCTATCACCAAATCAGCATAGTTTAGCTATTATGGGGACTGTCACTATCGAATCCTGGCACAATCTTGCTCAGTTTCTACTAGTTTTTGCTTTATACTTTATTATTTTAGTTATAAAATTTACATCAGATTTTTTGGTAGTTGTAGCTGCAATAATAATGATAATAATATCAAATCTAAATTTGGAAGTCTTAATTTAAGACATAAGACAAGTCTTAATTTATGACATCGATAATTGAAGACATCCCTCTTATAATACGGAATTTTTCAAGCACGAGTTTGGTCTAATACGGTACCACAATTAAACAAAATCGAAAAAATAATGAATATAAATTAAAACTAGTGGTGTGTATGGCATTGTACCTTAAGGCAAATTGCTGGAACTTTCCGTACCGTAACGAATTGTTCGAAGAATATTAAATGTTCTTAAGTAGATTATTTTAAATAAACCCTGTAACATTGTCTAATATTTATAAAAGCAGAAAGTTCTTTGAATCATTCAAATCGGACGCTTAGTTCTCTCAAAAACTGCTATTATTTGCACATTTAGCTCTGTATCTCCAAAACCGCTGGACCTGCCTTTGCCAAAAACTAATCAGCACATCTCCCTATTAATACGAATCGAATGTTTTTTGAATCATTCAAATCGGTTGATCCGTGCGCCCGAAAACGTGGACGAAAAATTGTATCCATACATACATACACACACATCTAATTTTTCTGATTATGAGATATGCCAAAATGTTCAGAAACCTTCAAAACCTGAAGAAATGTAAAAATTTTCACTTTCGATTTTTGGACGATTACAATAACTTACCCTACGGGAAGTTAACAAGTGAAAATATTATACAATCGCTCAATAAAGAGAATGAAACTAATGCGGAATTTGGCATAATTTATTTTTACGTTTTATCAAAAAAGCCTAGGCTTATCCGATCTGTTTGTCATATTTCTTAAATAAAGATCCTACAAATTAAATGAATATGAAATTTTAATAAAAAAATTGAATTCAAAAATGAATCCAAATATTCCATTATGAAATATTCCATTTAATACACTTAATATCTGTTTGTTATATTTCTTAAATAAAGATCCTTCAAATAAAATGAACATGAAATTTTAATAACAAATTAAATGTAAAAATGAATCGTACACTCACGAACGATTTATGTACAATACTACATGAGAAAATTTAATTGTCTTATATTATTTGAAATTTCTTAACCATTTTTATAATTTTATAATATATAGCATGCTTTTTTTATTTAGAGCATTTAGTCATCTAAAACATTCCATTAACATTCTATATCATCTTTATATATTCTACACTATCTTGCATATCTTCTATACTATCTTTTTTATTCATATCTTATTTCTATCTTAATGTTATTCTGAGTTCTTCATTTTTCTAAATCTGATCTTTTTGAATTCTAATCTTCCCTTTTTCTTCTTACTTCTAATTATGTATTCAAATTCAACTCAACTTAATTCTGATGTTCTACAATTCTAATCTTATTCTTGCTGTTTTCTTACTTCTAATCTTTATTCGAATTCAATTCAACAATTTTAATTATATTTAATTTAAAATTAACATTTTTTTTTAATTCTACCTAATTTTATTCCTATGCAATTTTTAATCAACGATTCAATTTCTATTGAACTTTTTTACATTTTATTCATTTTATATAATATTTTTTTACGCAATTGCCAAAAATCGATCCAGGGTTTGTTAGCGCGTAAGTCGAGCACGCTACTGATGAGCTATTTTCGCCACATAGCGAGTTTTTAACGAAGTATAAGAATATAAGAAATTTTCAATAAAAAATTGCGTTGATTAGCGGTAGTTTCTTATGAAGCGGTAGTTTTTTGGAACATAACTAATATATAAAAAAATTAAGAACTGAATTAAGTTTTGAAACAGAAGTCTCAAAAACACGAAATTTTCTTCTGCTGTTTTAATTTGAGTAAGCATCAGCCACTAGCTTTCATCGCCCGCGTTATCAAACGGCGCCGTCGGAGAGGTCAATCCGCAAACTCGCGGAATCCCATGACGTTAGCATTGAGCGCTCACGTGTCCGGTTATTGGCGGTTCGGAAGGGCCGGCCGGTTTCTTATTTTCGACGACATCATAAAAATTACAAACTTGAAATAATTATTGGGTCCCTTGTCTGTCAAAGCGTGCGGAATTTTTTGGCAATTAGCAGTTTGTTTTGATCAATCAATAGTGAACGACACTGGATGATATAATATCTAATTCCGGAATCTTTTATGATCACACTTGATAAATACATGACGTTATTAAATACACATGTGATTGTTGTGCATCTTTAACATTTGTCATCACGATTTATACTCGGATCTAATATAGCGATAAATCCTAGATGAAAATATGAGTAGTGTAATTAGTGATTAAATTACAGATAAAACTAAATGATTTGTGTTAGATTATGTACTTTATTGATTTATTCACAAATGATGACACTATTTGAAAAACAAATTAATAATTATCAAACACATCATTTGGCTAATCAATAAAATCACCAGCAACAAAAACTGATAAAGTGATACATGTGAAGCACTCATCAGAGACATGAAGTTATCACTCCGATACAACTCCTTTCTCAGAGTGAATCCGAGTGAAGTTGTCTCACAAAATTTGTCATATCCGACTTACCTAAACTGGTACTAAATCTGTTAACATGTGCAGATATTTGCTTGAGATTTTTTACTAATACAAACATTTGGGTCGAAAGAAGTGTTTTTCTTCTCGTCTCACAGCCAGTTTTAGGACTATCCAGGTTATAATGTCTCAAAATAATGCTATTTTGTATTTTATATTCTGTATACGGTAATGTTTGTCCGTAAATGAGCTCTTTAAATAGTTTACTACCAGCTAAAAATATTTAATATTATATTATAACTGTTACACAATTATGAATTTATAATCGTGTAAAAGTAATAGTATTCTAATCAAACTACTTGATGTGTAGTTAATTCTCGAAAAGTAAATAATAAAAGAATGGTATTAATGGAAATGGAAAGAGATATTATTATTTTGTGAAAAATATTATACACAAAAATTTGTTCTTATTTCATATATATGGTTCACTGCATTATTTTCATATAAAATAAACATATTCAAATAATTTTACATTTTCTCTTCAAAACTAATTACAAAATTGATTTTGATTCCCAAGTTTTTTGTCATGTTGAGATTTGTATGCATATTGAAATGCATAAAATAGCAATTATTATAATAAAATGAACAAAAATGTTTGAACTATTTGTAAACTATTTCCAAAGCCTTGATAAATCCTTAGATATGTTAACAACACACTAGAGAATACATTTGTGTCAAGTATTGTGTTTCAAAGTTGTGGAGTTGTTAAGTGGATATAACTTCTCTCTGAAGCGGAGTCAAATCCTAACCGATCCGGCTTCGGATATGATAAGTGCATCTCTAGTACCTACTAACAAACTGAATTTGGACTTAAAAAAATACAATTTTATTGAAGAGTCAATCCAATTACGGTAATAACGGTAAAATAAAAAAATCCTTATTTAGTATCTATGAGATTAAAGATAGAATTTTACTGATCATATTAGAATTACTTCTCTATAAAGATATTAGAATTCCTCTATAAGAAAAAGAGTACTATTGACGAGCAATACAGTTCAGAGGCACAGACTGTAAGAAGACAAACTAAAAATAAAACACTAATAAATAAAATCTTCTTATCAAACACTAATAAATAAAATCGCCCAGAAACAAAAACTGATAAAGTGATAACATGTAGAGCACAGATCATGGAGGCATTTTAAATGTGAAAAAACTGTACCTTACTAACGAACTGAATTTGGACCTAAAAAGATGAAATTCTGCTGAAGAGCCAAATCCAGTTACTTGGCAAAGTAACTGCCTGGTTAGGTAAAATTGAAAAAAGCTTTGTTACGGTTTGGTAAAATGAAAAAAACCTTGTATAGTATTTATGGGATTAAGGAAAAAATACTACTGATCATATTAGAAATACTTTTTCATCAAAATCTAAGAATTATTCTATAAAAAAGGAATACTATTAACGAGCTTTCTCTCTATGAACCAGAGACATATAGACTGTAAAAAGACAAACTACTGGCAAAAAACTGATTACATGCTAACATTTGCAACAAGAGTCTCTAGTGACATGGACCCTAAATGAAAAGGAAGAGGACTCTGCTTTTGAGCAAATTGAGTTAGAACTTCAGGTAGAAAAATTAAACCAAAGCTCTGTTTTGACGCGACTGAAGAACTCTACTAATAAACAAAAACAATCTGGATTAAGTACTGTAGAAATAATAAAATGTATAGAAAACAAGATCTTCTATGAATTCCAAATGAATGTCAGTAAATTCTTATGCATTACATATATTAATTCGTGAGGAAAGAAAACAAATATAGTTTCATAAATTTTCTATTGATAATGACAAATTTTGTCATATTAACCATTAAGTTATTTATGTGCATTGGATTTTTAAATTTTCTTTATTTGTAATCATGGTACCTCATTGCGTGTTTTAAATGCTATAATCTTTAAAATATAAATAATGCTAAATATACGTTTGATATATTTTCGCTCTTATATTATTACAGGTGTTTTGTTCTTATTGAATCAGTTTCAAATACAAACAAAAAGTATATATTTTAATGCAATTCAAAACGACTAATTCTTAATATATAAACTTACATGAAATAACTGTAGTTTCGCCTATTATTTAGATAACCTGAACTTTAATTAAACTCTAATAATGATGGAAACTGTTATTTTCTGGTAATAACCAGGTAATTATATCTGATCTTCTATGATTTACGCCTTACGGCTTAATTATTTTATCGATATAATGCTTAAAATCTAAAATAAATAGCCAAACTACAAAAAATTACTAAATTCATATTAATGAACTTACTGAACTTGATTCTAAGAAATAAAAAAGCTGAAATTACACATGAAAAAATTGATGTTGTTAAAATAAACTCAAATATTTGAATATATTTATATGCATAAAGTAAAACAATATACTTTATTTAATTCATTTATTTTCATAGAAAATTACAAAACGATATATCAATGAAGTTTTCATTGATATAATTTTTATTGCACTGTACCTTAATGAATACACACATATAGACAGTTTATGTATCTTTACTTTAACAAGTTTATTTTTGCATTATGTTCAGATAATACAATTTATTTAATTACTTATGATGTCATATCAGCAAACATAAGTTTCACAGCAATCTGGATAAGGTTTACTCTGATCTTCTGGTACGAAGTCACAATATTGATGAGGCGGTATCGGTTTTGAACAACTAAAAAAGATAAAATTGGGTTATTGAAATTCAGCACAAACTTAAATTTTAAACACTCAACATATATATTTCTATGTGAAATTTAAGTATTATCAAATAAATTAAAATATTATTATTTATTTATATGATATAATATTTCTAGAGACTGCAATTATTTTCTCTATTAAACTGCAACAAAAAACTGCTATTTGTTTTAAATTTTATAAAACATCATTTTACACAAATCTGTTGAAATAGATTAAATTCAATTAGTTCAAGCGACAAAATACCATTTCTGATTAAATTGCAATCGTACTTAAGATTCATGAATATTACAAATGAAAACAAATAGCTAATTTTCATTAGATTCATTAGAATACAAATGAAAATTAGTAAAAAAAAATTAATTTAATATTAAGATTCAATTTTGAATCAATATACGTGAATAAACAACAGAGAATTTTCTCATTTAAGTTTTTTAAGAATTATAACAATACAAAATTTATCGAAAACCTTCCATTAGACTTTTCAACTTATGCACATTATGAATATTGTTATTAAATTTTGAAAACTGAAATTTCTTGAATGTATAGTTGATAAACTTTACTGGAATATAAACAAAGAAGGTCTGTTTATTGAAATTTGGCAAGCTTATAAAAGTTGGTTCTATTATTTATATCTATTATTTATCTTTGGTTCTATTAGATCTTCTATTATTTAAAATCAGGACTCTTTCTTATAGTTTAGACCTACTTAGTTTTTATGAAAAGTATTAGAATTAGATGTTTATTTCAATCAATATCGCAATTAAATAGAGTCCTTTATTAGTTTGGTAATTACAGTAGAGACACATTTTTAATTAATTGTTCTTTAAATTAACAATGTTATCATGAGTCCAGAGTGTTAATATTAAATAACTTATAGAGCTATTAAGTCATTTCTGAATACTGTAATTTCATGTTCATTTTTATTCTAAGCTGTATTTTGTTTATTTGATTAACTTTTACTTTGCACGCATTATTAACTTTTTCAATTGTTTGGTTGTTATGTTTCAATTTTTTGGTTATACAAAATTACTCCAATTTTTTGGAAAATGTCTTAAAAATTTTGAGATGCACGTTTTCATAATGAAATATACATTGACAAAAAAATATACATCTAATTTATTGTAATATGATCATGACAAATACCAATAATTATTTATTTAAGTATCTTGATTTAAAGTTTGCAATTATTCTTAAAGGCCGTATGAACCGGTATTATCAACTTAATGCAACACAATGTCCTCTCCAGAATATTATTTATTGAAAAATATCTGCATTTAAAAATGTTTAAAGATATTTATAGAAAATCTGGTTTGAAGAATGTGTGCCTTACACGAAATTTTGTTATGATGTTTTATGCAAATGATTTCGGCGAAGAATGCACGTTTTTATGGATTCGAAACATTCTTGCATAATTTTTGTGATATACCTTAAATTTACTAATATCAATATGCCTCTAACTTTTATTCTTAGGTTATGGAAATGAATATAGAAAGATTTTGTAAGGTAGATATTAAATAGATTTGTGATATCTTTGTGTATCTACATTATACTAAACCTAATTAAAATTCAGTTCAAACAATTACATACAAAAAATGACTGACTAAATGTAAAATATATCAATCATAAATCTAGCATATTTTTCTTTAGTTAAAATAAAATATAACAATCTCCACTCAAATTGTAACTTTTTCATGAGAGAATTTCTTGGAAAAGTCAGGGCATAAAGGTCCAATTTTGAAAAATCATTTATTCGTGAAAACCAAAAATAACTGTATCTCAACGAATAACACATATCAAACAAATAACTATCTGACTATGTTCAGTAAAACACTCAGCTAATTCATCATTGTAGAAATATGTATTCTTTGCTATTTTTCAAAAATTCATCACTTGGTCTGGTTATGATCTACTCATTAGCAAGGTAAGAAAAGACAGCCAGGGGGCAAAACAATCCACCTATTTATTTTTAATTTTAAAGAGGTTTTAAAGAGAACAAAAGCCACGTTATTAAATCAAAGCGATGCTGTTTAATTTTTATATTAAACAACTAAATTAAAAATTATAATTTAAATCTGTATTTTCAAACATGTGTAACAATTTTATCAACTCTTGCTACTTCATAAAACTTGCTTTAGTAGTTTTTTCTGTTTAATTTGTCATGATCATTGTTTCTTGAATTGCAATAATTACAAGTTAGATAAATACATCTCCTGTTAGAAATATATATTTTATATTCACATTTTTTTTAAAGATCGCACTGGATACATCTATTGTGTGTAACTTTGTCAGAAAATTGAAATAACTAAAAGAAATTGGAATAACTATTAATTTAAATTGTCTCTTATAAAATTGGTGTTTACATATTATTGTGTATACTTTATACTAAGTATAAAGGTTCAGGTGGCATTTTTTATATTAAACAACTAAATTAAAAATTATAATTTAAATCTGTATTTTCAAACATGTGTAACAATTTTATCAACTCTTGCTACTTCATAAAACTTGCTTTAGTAGTTTTTTCTGTTTAATTTGTCATGATCATTGTTTCTTGTATTGCAATAATTACAAGTTAGATAAATACATCTCCTGTTAGAAATATATATTTTATATTCACATTTTTTTTAAAGATCGCACTGGATACATCTATTGTGTGTAACTTTGTCAGAAAATTGAAATAACTAAAAGAAATTGGAATAACTATTAATTTAAATTGTCTCTTATAAAATTGGTGTTTACATATTATTGTGTATACTTTATACTAAGTATAAAGGTTCAGGTGGCATATATATATAATATATATTTTATATTCACATTTTTTTTTAAGATCGCACTGGATACATCTATTGTGTGTAACTTTGTCAGACTGTAGGATATAGAAAAGCTGTTGAATCTAACTTGATAATAAGTTTACATCGTAAAAAGTGCAATTAAATATACTTAAAAAGTATATATTTAGGTATCGTAAACTAAACAACCTTGTTCAAAAACAAAAAGACTAACAACGAAAAAAAAAACACTTTCGTTAAAAATTTTACAATGTGGTCGTTGATCTCCTGATTGCGATGTCGTCTGATTTAAGTCAATATTATTTTTCCTCTACTTTAAAATAGTTGCGTTAAAAAATCACACTTCAGTTGTTTTTGAGATAAGGGTGTTTAATGACCTCTTTATATGGGACCTTTGAGCCATCCAAACAGTTTTTGTTGAAGTCTACTTAATTAAAGATACTGGGCAACTTTTAATCGCATTATCAACTGTGTGAATAGCTGGCATGAAAAATATGGAAGAAAAAGGAGAATCTTGATTGATTCCGTTTAAATTTTATATACATAAATATATAATTATAATTTACTATAAAAACAGTAAATATTTACTTTTCTCCGTAATATTCTAGTTCTTTGGCTCCTTGCACGCAAGTCAGTCTAGCGCATTCATCCTTGAGATCAAACGGTTCACCTGGGACGTAGAATTTTTTTGTAGGTTCGAAAAAGCATTTGCCAGGATGATCTGAAAATTAGAATACTTTGAATTACTTTTTAATTAATGTATAATACAAAATATTTTTGCATATATAAGTAAATGATCACTTCTTATAGATTGGGATTAGAAACTGACATTTTTTAAATAAATTCTAACTTTATTGTCTAATAAGAATTAATAAAGATGGTACAAATTGGTTAATTACGATAAAATTTCATATTTTTTACTGAAGATCAAAAATAAGTTTGTCAAAGATTATAAATACTAGACTAATAGAAAAAAAAAAACAATAAAACAATCACCCAGAACTGCTGATTAGTATTGCTGATACTAATTTATGCAATTTGTAAAAGCTTAATATTTAGTTGATGTTATTTTAATAAAAAAACTACATGTAACTGTACAGCTGATACTGATCTATGCAATTTATATAATCCTAATGTTTAGTTGTGTTATTTTAATAAAAAAAAACTACATTTAATTACCAATCTTTATACTTATTATAAACTCCTTGCTATAAGAAATACTAATCACTTTTTACTAAGAATATAAGATGTGAATATAATATTGAAGTCATTATTATGTGATGGAATCTACTACATTTAATTGATTTTACTAAAATCAATTAAAAGCGACAACAATAAATGTGTTAAAAAATCAAATATAAACTTTAATTAAATAATATAATTTTGATTTTCTATCAAGATATTGTAATGGTTCTTTGAAATTTGTCCAATTTTTCGTTCAAAAGTGAAATGATAAGCTATAATGTTCAAGAGAATGTCTTAGCATAAGTATATGAAATACAAAATATGTTCTATAATCTGTCATAACATTGTGATTTAATTAATTAAATAATATATTGTTAGACAATTCTGCATGAAACTTAATAATCAAATTGCTGTTTGCCCTTTCATATGATCAAAAAATATAATTGTTTTATTATGAATAACAGTAATCGATAATTTGATTAATTCGTAAACACAAATGTAATGTAAATAGTATATTAGACTTCAATTTAAAAGTTAATAATAATCTATTGAAGTAATTGGAATGCTAAATTCGGAAAATATACTTCTAAATAAAGATATTCTTGCTATTTTTTAAATATTTGAGAATTTTATAACGCAAATTTGGTTACCCATATTGTTACTTCAAAAATTAATTGCCTAAATGTGGCGGGAATAGCTCAATCAATAGCGTACCCGAACCAACGCCAGCGATTCTCAGATCGATTCTTGGAAATGACATACAGTTTGAAATGTTGAGTTAAAATTAAAAAGAATTTGAATTGTTAATTTGAAATTGCATAGAAATCGAAGTAAGAAGAATTTAAAATAGTTAATTTGAAATTAAAATTGAATTTGAATTGTTGATTTGAATTAGAATAAAATTAGATGTAAGAAGAGGAGCAAGATTCGATTCGGAGATCAGTTTTTGAAGGAGAAAGGAATGAAGAAATAAGTTATAAAGAACAAAAAATATGATAGAATATATATAAAAAAGATAGTATAGATTGTGTACTATAGAATATATATAAAGATAGTATAAAAATATATAAAGATAGTACATAGTATAAATAAAAATATTATAACTTATAAAAAAATGTTGTAAATGGGTAAATGCCCTTATTGTTAGTAAGCAAGGCCAAAAATAGAACAATAATAATAATAATAATTTTCTTTGTTACAAAACTGCATTTATATCTCACTTAAATTTAATTATATCAATGCAAGCATTCTTAAGTTCATCAATGCAAAAATGCAAATATAACGTAGTTGAATTTCAGAGTTCACCATATAAACTTGGTAAAAAATTAATTGATTCATTATACCAATGTCATTAAAAAAAGTCTATACAATTGAAATTTGACAAAGAAACTGCATGGCTGTAAGTGATTGGAAATAACCTGAGTGTGTGAATCTTATGCACAATTAATATCAGATAAAGTTATTTGAGACAAATTCTTTTTTATTTGAGCTGCATCATTTATTTGTGATTTTAACAATAACTATGCCGGTGTTTGACAAAAATTGTTTTTTCCTTAGACGTCCTAATTATGAAAATAGTAAACTTCAATTAAACGATTACGTTTAGATTACCGATAAGCATCATATTTTCTTGTTAACTTCGCGTACGGTAGTTATAGTAATGCGCCGAATATCGAAAATGAAAATTTTTGCATATCTTTACGTTTTGAAGGTTTCTGAATATTATGGCATACCTCAGAAAAAATGGACGCGTGTGTGTGTTTTGTGTGTCCGCATTTTTTCGTTCACGTTCACGTTCAACCCATTTAAATAGTTCAAAAAACATTCGATATCTCCTATTGATAAGGAGATGTGCTGATTAGTTTTGGGCAAAGGCAGGTCCAGCCGTTACACAGATACGGAGTAAAGAGTGCAGAAAATAGAAAGCAAGGTTTCGAGAGAACGGAGCATCCGATTTAAATGATCCAAAAAACATTCAATTTGTAATGATTAGGAAAAGTTGCGTTTAGTTTTTGGCAAAGGCAGAGCTAGCCCTTTTTGAGATACAGAGCTAATTGTGCAAAAAATGACGGTTTTTGAGAGAAAAAAGCGTCCGATTTAAATGATTCGAAAAACTTTGTTCGCTTTGGCAAAATAATTGCTTTTGAAAAAAGAAATTATTCCAAATTATCTTTTTTTATTTAAAAAAAAACAATTTTTTGTACATTTAAAATAATGCAGATTTTAATTTTAATCCCAGCTAAAGTTCTAAAGCTCACTTATATACTTTAAATAAATAATTTTATTGTTGTAATTCATTTTATATAATTTTTATAAATATTAGACAATGTTATAGTATTTATAACAATCGATTTGAAAACATTTAATATTTCTAGAACATTTTGTTACGGTACGAGAAATTCCAGCAATTTGCCTTAAGCCACGATGCCATACACAACTAGTTTAGAGAAAAAAACTGACTTAATTTTCTGTATTTTAGTGCAAAACATGCTTTGAGTGCAAAACTAACACATTGTATTAATTTTTCCAAATATAGAGAAAAATGTATCTGGCATAGATTTAAGAAATACCTCTATTGAGAGACATTCAAATTTTATATCTTACAAGCTTCTTTCCAGTTTGATTGGTCATAGAAAAGCCCAAATAAATGTGCATTTTACAAATAGAAACGTATCTATCTTGCAAGGCAGCTGAAGAAATTGATGGTTTCTGTTAAACACGATCAGATAAATCAAAATGTCAAACGGCGCCAATAAATATTCAACATGGCCGTCAAAGCGTTACCGCTCACTCACCTTTGAGCACCGTCGCCGGTAGCATATAAATGTCTCCGTATCCGATACAGACAATTGTCAAAGTTACAAACAATACTAAACTTACACGGCACGACATAATAATTCACAATTTTAATTCCTCCGATTTCAGAAAATGTGGTTTGCTAAAAATTCGATGCGTTTGAATGCTTTTCTTCCGAGAGACTGACTCCACAACAAGTTGTTCTGCAGGTCGCCCGCCGCGACTCGATCAATGTGTGATCATCGTTCTCGGAGTGAATTTTAAAAGGTCAACTGAAAGTAGAAGAATGTAGGCCAGAAACGTGAAGACAAATAAATTTAAACACAGAGCTAGTATATAAAATACTTCAAGATTTTAGTTACCAATTCATACCATGCCAATATAGGTGTTCCATGTCGGGAGTTTCGAATCGCGTTTTAGATGACCTGGTATCATGAAGTGGTGATGTCAATTTTTATTTCAAAATATAGATTAAATATATCTTTCCTTGACGATGGGAAATATCTCACACTATTTTTTTGCAGAATCGAGTTGGAATTTAATTCAGCTTACGCATCTGACCAATGACAGAACTACCCATTATTATTACTACGTTTATTATAATTTCTTTATGAATTTATGTAACAACTATTAATTAATATTGAGCTGACTGAAATTGTGTTATTAAAACGCCACCATTATTTTAAAATCATGTAAAGTGTAATAATTTGTAAGTTTACTATTTTAGAGTAATCGACAAAATATGTTTAACCAACCAGAGTCTTAAATCGGACGATGTCGCTATGAATTTTTTAACGAAAGTATTTTTTTATTTTTGTTATTTTGGGCTTTAGAAGTTATTTAATTGTTTACGATGTATTGTTATATTCAATAAATTTTTTATGTAATTTTTTTTTATAATATTTTTAACAGCAATCAGAACCTTACGTCCTATGAGCTGTTGGGCTGAAACTTCTCCTTACTTCGTATTTTTTAAATGGTAACCCAATGGTTAATTCATCCATATTTGATGATTTTTGTTATTATAATTAATCTAATAGGGCTGACTTTTTATTGGTGCAGCAATGCCGGGCAAGGGCTATTTTCACTTGGAAACATATTTCTATCTATATTTCCAAGTGAAAATCGTTGTCACTGCTGCTTGACAACAGGCTGCTCGAAGTGGGTATCGAACCCGGGACCTCTGAAACAAGTCCCGTCGCTCTCAACCGCTTACCTACGGGCGAGCCCTATGTAATCTTTGGAATAGCTTTTGTGTTTGGGGTATAAAGGACTACCTGAACATTTACACTGGAAAGTCTAAACAATAAGTAAATAATATATATATATATATATATATATATATATATATATATATGATATAGAAATTATTATGTTTATATATATATATATATATATATATATATAAACGGTAATTAAGTTGAAAGGGCAATTTTTCAAAATATAATTTAATTAATGGTTATTCCAACTATGATGTTGAATTCTTCTGGCAAAGTTCTATATGAAGTATGTATCTATATGCAGGTGATATTTGTAAAACTTATGCCCAAATATGTATTATTTTAGATAAAATTTAAATTTATCCTAATTGTAATAATCGTGTTTCAAGAAACAATGAGCTTGATTGTGATAAACTAAAACGAAACTTGATTTATGCTAGTAAGCGTTGATAAAGATTTTTGTTTATTATGTTTAATTAACAATATGTATTTGAAAGATAATTTTTAATTAGTTGTTTTTACTGATTATTAAACTGCATCGCATTTATTGAACAATGTAGCTTTTATTTCGTAAAACCTCTTTAAAATTAGAACTAAACTAGACCTCTCAGTCCCTAGTGTGAAATTTTTAGAAAAATAGCAATAAAAAATTTCTCTAGAATCATGAATTTGCTGCGAATTTTACTGAATATTTATATATGGTTTTATTTTCACAATGTAATTACTGAAAATTAAATTGGACCTTTTTGTCCTGAACTACCCTATATAAAATGGCTTGACATGCAGTAGGAATATAATGTGCAATTCCATTGATTAATTGAAGCTTTTTCAGAAAAATGGTCATCGTAAATAGTATTAAAGCTTATCAATACTTAGAGTCACAACAAGAATACTAATAATCATAATAATAATGAAAAAAATAAATATTGTCTTAAAGAACTATCAGGCAAAAACTATATATCTCTTTAGTAATCGTAGCAACTCGAAAAGTTTGTAAGTGTTGTTAGTTTTTAAATTGAATCTAGGGAATTTACTATTTTCAAATGAATTGTAATAATAAGGAAACAAAATGAATTTTATAATATAATCTAATATTATTATTACTATTATTAGTCTTTGAGTAAGTATTTTCACTTGCCTCTCACCTAACGTCGTCCATACGCAAATCAACTTTACAACTTTGCTTTATGACGCAAAACGTCTTCAGACTTTTGTAATAGTCTATTTATTTTTGCATAATCAATGAGCTTCTTAGTAACTACTTATGGATGAGCTTCGATAAATGAGTAGTTTGCAGAATTCATCTCAAATAAAAAGAATACTGAATGATCTTGAACAGTTATAATGTTGAAAACCTTAGCTTGAGGTAATTCTACATGTAGATTTTGATACTGAGTTATTTTATATTTATATTTTTCTTTGAAATATCAATTCATAGGTAATAATAATAAAGAAAATTGCATTATGTCAGATACGCTGTGAGGACCTCAAATCTTTTCATAAACAAATTTTATATTTATTTTTGCATCGCTTTAATTTACATTCATAACATTACCTGTTTACGCATAATTTACCTGGGTAGCTGTCTACCTGTCTACCAGTGTAGCTGCTCACCTGTTCATCTGTGTGCCTGTCCAAATATACCTGTCTACCTGCATTCCTGCCTCCTGTTTATCTGCCTGTCATCATTTTTTTTAAGGTGTGCCAAAATGAAGGAAGTCTTGAAACGTAAACATATGTAAAAAAATTAATTTTATATTTTTAAACAATTACTGTAACTTATCTTACGCAAAGTACTCTAATAACAATACTAATTTAAGAAATATATTTATAAATAAAAAGTGTTTTATTATGTGCGCCTTGAATTGCGCAAAAGGTAGTATCAAATGTCCTATGAATGTCATTATGTTAATTTTTAAATAAATTGTGTACTAATTTTACCCTTTTAAGATTTAACTCAACATTACTTAGTTATAAATATACAAGTCAATTGATATAAATATTAATAAACTTATTATTACTATATTGTTTTTAAGTTTTTTAGTCTTCAAATACTTCAATATTATGGATAGTATTAGCATTATGTAACAAATGTCTCTATAAACCTGTTACTTGTCTAAAGACATAAAAAAACTAGTATCAGACAATAATATTCTAGCAACAATTATACATAAGTTTTATCATGTATTTTAAAATGTCACTTGCGACTGATTCAATTAACTTGGTCAAGAATACCGTTAACTACAATCGTGGTTTTTAATTAATACATTACAAATACAAACGTTTTAATAATATGTAAAAAAGTTTGTAGAAGAAATTAGAATTAATATATAAAACGAAAACCTTTGTAAAAAGAGATAAATAACAAAAAAAATCTTTTTAGATTAATTACATGATTGACCATTTTTTTAACTAAAAATCAGATTCCAGACACAGATTTATTGAAAACTCAAAAAAAGAAAATATTTTTTTTGAAAAACTAATAAAGAACTTCGTATTTAACCGGATAGGCCTATTTTAATAAAATGTTTAATTGGATCTAATGTTGCCACAGCATCATATCTTCTAATAATGCCAACTACCTGAATCAATCAATCTAAAAATATCAATAATAACTATTTATTATATATCAAGGGTAATTATTCAAACATTGACAATTTGAAGTATGGTTTTTATATAAGAAAACAACAAACTAAATTGCTTATGAATAATAGAATCAAATCTAAGAAGTTTATGTTCTCTAATTCCCACGTTGCTCATTCAATATTGAAAATTACTGCTACTGAAAGTTCAAATTTAACATAGCCAACATATGATAGAAACGTTTAACGTAGAAGCTTACACACTTACCTTAAATCCATAACTATTATAGCTTTGTATCTTGTGCGAATATTTTTTTTAAACAGCCAATACATCTCCAGGAAGATTTACTGATCAGGATTTTGAAGAAGCAAATTTGTGAACAAGATTAGGCAGTATTGATCGATGGTTGTAACGTCGAAAGTGTGAAAAGAAAACGAAAAATTTACATTATTGCTAGCATGAAAATTATTTTATATCGGCAAACACTTCAACCGATTTAAGTTTCTAAAGGAAATAAAATAAGTATAGTTATCTCTTTATTGTTATTGATAAATTAAGGATATTTTCGCCTATATTTTCTAGATGGTAATGTTACATTTACATAATTAATTTTAGGTTTGGAATATTATGTTAGATTTCACTGTTCATTATTTTTTTTCAATCATATTTACACACGACTCTTTCGCAACATTCCGGGTAAGGCTTAGTTAGATCCATTGGTAAAAGTCTGCATGCTTTATTCGCAGGATCGACAAACATAATTCCACACCTGAAAAATTAATAAAATAAAATTAATATTAGCAATATTAATAGAATCCGGATTATTTATTTATGAGATGCATTACCCTTTAATTCCATAGTTAACTCCGTCGGCATTGCACTCAAGCATTTTGCATTGATATGGCATAGTGTAAGTCTGTCCCGCATGTAAAATCATGCCATTGTACCTACAATCTGAAAATAATGCATCTAAAATATACCTATATTCTTAATTTACCGAAAATACCATAATAATTGAATGAAAATAGATCCATAAAATTTCATGAAATTTATCGAATGTAGTATACAATATAAAATAACTGTGTCACGAAATAAAATAACTTTTTTTATGTGGTAAACATAGATCAATTTAGTTGAAGACAAATAGTAAAGTATGAATTTTCGTAATGAATTATGATTGAGGATACAATCTGATTTTATATGTAGGCTGCATTAATTGAATTATGTTTGGGTATTGATAAATATTGGTATACTTTAAATTATAATTTAATTGGAACCAATTTCATGGTTTCACGTCAGCATATATCGTTTATCATAT